GGCACGTGTGCTCGCCAGACAGAGAGAGAGAGAGAGAGAGACAGAAAGCGAGAAATCACCCCTGAGGGGGGATGGCCACGCCACAATCCCTTCTCCTCCATTCTCCTCTCGGGATCTTGGGCACACATGCACACGCGCCTGGCGTGAGTTTTAAGCCACTGGGTCCGAGACGCAAACCACAGTCGACTACATGGGAGACCAGCAACATAGCCATTACACTAACTGCCGGTCCCGAAAGTTTATATTTTGAAGGCACATAACAGACACAGGATGATTAAAGTTAAGAATTGTTATGTAAATTAATTGTCATAGGGCAGTCATCCCTGATAGACTGAGAAGCATTTCCAGCAGGGAGAGGTCACACACCAATCTGTCTCCTTTTTTTTTTTTTATTTTGAGAGTTTTTTTTTTTTTTCCACTATAGGGCGCGTGCGCTCGCCAGACAGACAGAGACATAGAGACAGAAAGCGAGAAATCACCCCCCAGGGGGGATGGTCATGCCGCAATCCCTTCTCCTCCATTCTCCTCTCGGGATCTTGGGCACGCATGCACACGCATCCGGTGTGAGTTCTAAGCCACCGGGTCTGGGATGCGAACCGCGGTCCGCAGTCGATCGACTATGTGGGAATCCAGCGACATAGCCATTACGCTAACTGCTGGTTCCCCATTTTTTTTTCTCTACAAGTAGAGGTTTAGAGGCATGTATACATATGCCTTTTTCAAGCAGCATGCAGGGACTGGGCTTAAGTCCAGTTGGGTTCCTCAAGTAATGTCTTGAACAACTGCCCTGTATGCAGTTGGTTTATGTTATACATTTAAACGTCTGCATTTTTTTACTATAAGAAACTTTAGTAACCTAACAGGGTGTATTTATAAATATATGGAATTTTCTCCAATATTTTAAAATAGACAGTAATTTACCAGAAAGTTGTATTTTTGAAGACCAATTTAGTTGATATGTGGCCTTTTGAACTCAGCACATTTTTAAATTAATTAATGATTTTTTTGAGAGCGCTTTACTGCTGTGTGTTTGCACTCACCAGAGAGACAGAAAGTGAGAAATCACACCCCCCCTGGGGGGGGATGACCATGATACAATCCTTTCTCCTCAATTTTTTTCTTGGGATCTTGGGCACATATTGAAACTGAGCAGTGAACCCCTAATTTTTTGTTGTTGTTGTTCTTGAAATATAAGGTCCATTTACATTGTAACAGCCCAGAGTAAGGAGTAAGTCTTTAGACTTTGGTTATGATAATGAAACAACATTGACCATGAATAAGGGCCATTTGACCTCTAAAACTCACTTTAAGAAAAGATATGGTTTTCATTTCAATATGTAAGATGTTTTGTAGAATAGAAAGTGCTGGCTGTGAGCTTAAAGACACCAGGCTGAATGGCTCCAGAAACCTGAACAGAAATTTGGTTCTGTAAGTCCTCACCAATCAAGAATGCCCACAAGGGACCAGCAGTTTGCATAATGGCTATGTTGTTGGACTCCCATGTAGTCAACTGTGGTTCAATTCCTGGACCTGGTGGCTTAAAATCAAGCCAGGTGCATGAGCGTGCATGCCCAAGATCCCAAGAGGAGAATGGGGGAGAAGGAATTGCGGCATGACCATTCCCCGGGAGAGTGATTTCTCATTTTTTCTCTCTGTCTTTTTCTGGTGAGTGCATGTGCCCTATAGCAAAAACTTCTTAAAAAAAAAAAAAAAAAAAAAAAAGAATGCCCACAAGATGATCACATTCTCTTGAACCAGTCACTGAACTGATCATGCACCTGGGAACTGTGCCCCTAATTTTGCCCTTAAAAATGCTTGTGGGGAACATCTTGGGGAGACTGGGTCTTTTCAGCATGAACTACCCATTCTCCTTGCTTTGCGCTTTGCAATAAAGCTGTACTTTCCTTCATCACATCATATGCCTATGGTTTGGTTTTATAGCGCTTGGGTGAGCGAACCTGATGGACCACAAAGGGACTAAGGTCCTGCTGATGTAGGCAACTGTACTGAGACCTGTGCCATGCCTCTTCTGACCACTCCTCTTCATGGTGTGGAGACATCTGGAATTCACAATAACCCAAGGCTGTCTGTTTAATTACTGACACCTCCCAGGTCCCTGCTAAGCCTCAATCTCTCCCCGCTTTGAAATGATAAAAGCAACCTGAGGCCTTGAGAAGCCTGACACCCTGCCTATCTAAGCCTTCTCTAAAGTAAACTTTGAGCCTCTTCTTCCTGATAGGATACCCTTAGCATGCTGGAGCTCCCACTTCCCCCAAACTCCCCAATAAAAGACTGTGTTTAAGGGACCACCAGTTGGCGTAATGGTTATGTTGCTGGACTCCCATGTAGTTGATCATGGTTTGAGTCCTAGACCCAGTGGCATAAACACACTGGGCACATGTGTATGCATGCCCAAGAACCTGAGAGGAGAATGGAGAAGGGTTTGTGGCGTGGCCATCACCCCTCGGTGATGATTTCTTGCTTTTTGTCTCTGTCTTTCTGGTGAGTGCACGTGCCCTATAGCAAAAACTTCTCAAAATAAAAAAAAAAAAAAGAGATTGCTTAACCCCCACGGGGAGCCGGATATTCAGAGTGTTTACTCCTCCATGTTTGCTAGCATAATAACAAAAAGGTGTTCTTATTTCTCTGGAATGCTGCATTTCATCCCTCAGCCATCTTTTTTCCCTACCCTACAACATTTAATGCATTGTCTGGGAAACTAAAATCAGACTGGCCCTTTGAGCCACCAACCCCAGGGTGCTTTCCCCTGGGACAAGCACTGTGGTGCAGAGGGATAGGTGCACCCCCATCTTGTTTGACAGGATCCTTCAGCTGGGGTGCCTGCCCTGAGGATGAGCATTACTGGATCATCAGACTCCACTTGGAGAGAAGAAACAACTCTTGCTCCAGACCTGGATACATCACCTGTGGTCAACTCTAGTAATCTGGTAAGCCCTGGGGATCTATAGAGTCCATCAGTTAGTCCCACTCAGTATGAGTGGAAGAGGAGACCCGTAAACTCTCATTCGGTTGTAGGACTGGTAGTCAGGACTCATCTGTCTTTGTTTGGCCTGTGGCCAAATTTTGGTAATTTGGTATCTGTTGTAGAGTCTATCAATTAGTCTCACTCAGTATGAGTGGGAGAGGAGACCCGTACACTCTCTTTCTGTCATTGGACCAGTAGTCAGGACTCATTTGTCTTTGGTTGGTATGGAGAGGGAATGCATAACCCCTGAGTGAATAAGAATGTGACGAGTGTATGTGTTTGTGGTCCCACTGTGCATAGCACCATGGGATATGAATGGGTCTGTACTACGTTTCTGTGGTGGTTTCATGAAGGCTAAATGGCAATATTACACTCTGAGGGTCCCTTTCGACTCTTAAGTGTGTAATCCGATGGAGGTTCTGTATCTAATTGCCTATTGCCAAGGAAATACACAAAGTTCACAAGGGACATGGCCAGATAGATACCCGAATGGCCTCCCCTTTGGGGGTGGAGGACACCCATTCTTTGTTTTGCAACACCGCTCACAGGAGAAGGGGCACCGGCAGTTGGGAGGGCTTTCCCTGTAAAGGTGGATAGGCAGAGTAGATGTCAGGTCGCAAGTTTTGTCCCTGGAAGCTGGGACATGAGTTCCTCTCAACTGTAACAAAAGACATCCTCCCAGAACCCAGCCTGACTCTCCTGCAAAGACTTCCCCTTGTGGAGCCTAGTCCCATTGCTGGGGAAGGACCTGCTAACTAAACTTAGAGTGCAAATCGCTTTGACTTGTCTGGCTCAGCTGCTTTAACTATCAGCCTCACGAAAATCTTGGATGTGGCAATGTCCTGAGAGGAGGAATGGTGAATGTTTGCTCCCTAGGCACCCAGTGGAGATGATGAGGCACTCTTTTCATTTGTTAAAGACTTCCCTATAGTCTTGGCAGAGGGGGACATGCCAAGAATGACAAGCAACCACCCACCTATAGTGGTCGAGCTGAAACCTCAGACATAGCCTGTGCACCTCTGCCAGTACCCTCTAAGTCTAGTGACTGTCTATAAAGAAACAAATCAATAGGCTCAAAGAAGCCAGGATCCTGGTCAAGTACCAGTCTCCCTGGAACACTTCCTTCCTCCTCATGAAAAAGAGAACCTTTGGCAATTCAGGACTTGCCAGCTGTGAACGCTGCCACAGTGACCTAACATCCTACCATACCAAAGTTTGCTGAGCACTCTCCCAGCAGACTCTGAATGGTTCACTTGTCTGGATCTCAAGGATGCTTTCTTTTGCCTGTGGCTGGCAGCTGTCAGCCATCAGCCGACCATTATTTGCCCGGGAGTGGGAAGATCCAGACACCCAAAAGACAACACAATAAATGTGGTCCAGGGTCCTTCTCCAACTTTGTTTGGAGAAGCATTTGCTGCCAATTTAGAGAATTTTCTGAACCAAGGGACTGGATGCATACTCCTGCAATATGTTGATGACCTTCTGCTTGCTGGAGTGACCTGAGAAAACTGCTGGAGGGGAACTCGAGAGCTGCTCCAGCTCCTGTCCCAGGCTGGGTAGGATGGCCCACTACCAGGGTCTATTGACTGGAAATTCCTGAATTAGACTCCAGACCCTGCAGACCCTCAATCTCACTAGCTTCCTTCCAGCCATGCTGGGGCCTCCTGACCACAAATGTGAAGAAGCCCTTGATGAGGTGTTTTTCTGGGTGTCCTGACCTTGTGGACACACTGCTGAAGACTCCCAATTTCACTCTGTTCACTGATGATATCAGCTACATGGAGGATGGGACTTGATATGCTGGCTATGCAGTTACCTCCCAAGACACAGTGATTGAGGCTGGGGCACTGTTCCATGGATGATCTGCTCAGCAGGCTGAATTATGGGCATTACTCAGAACCTTAAGATTGGCAGCAAGTAAGAGGGTAAACATCTACCCAGACTCACACTATTCATTTGCTGCATAGTTCATGGGGCGTTATGCTGAGAGAAGGGACACCTCTCAGCAGAGGGAAAAATAGTCAAAAACGAGGAAATCTGCCAATTGTTAGAGGCTGTCTGGGAACCAAAAGAAATGGCAATCATTCATTGCAGGGGACACAAGTTGGGGGAAGACCCCATTTTCTTGGGAAACTGGCTGGCAGACCAGACAGCCAAGACCATGGCCATCAGGCTCTGACTGCAGTGGCTAAAATGTTGCCACTCAAAAGCCCCCCAAAAGCCTGCCCCCCCCCATACCTCTGATGAACATCACTGGGCAAAATTGGAGGGAGCAACCCTGGAAGAGGATGGATTGTGGAGACTGCCAGATAAAAGAATATACATACCTCAGTCTCTGGGATATTCATTGGTAAAGCAGCACCACAAGTTGACTCACTGGGGAAAAACTAACCTAGGAAACATGTCAGTCTGATGCTACTTTTTGAGTCACCTACCATCATTATGTGCAACTGTGAGCATGAGGTACGAGTCCTGTGCCAGAAATAACTGCCCAGGGGCCAGCACAGCCGGCTGGGATACAAGCTACCAGGACAACTCCCCTGGAGTTACTGGAGGCAGACTTCTCAGAAGTGTGACCATGCCAAGGCTATACATACTTACTAGTTCTGGTCTGCACTTACTCCGGCTGGATGGAAGACTTTCCTATCCAAACTGAAAAGGCAAAAAGAGACGGAGAGACAGCGAGAAATCCCCCCCCCGGGGGGGGGGATGACCACGCCACAATCCCTTCTCCTCCGTTCTCCTCTCGGGATCTTGGGCATACACGCACATGTGCCCAGTGTGAGTTTAAGCCACTGGGTCTGGGACTCGAACCACGGTCGACTACATGGGAGTCAAGCAACATAGCCATTATACCAACTGCTGGCCCCAAGGAGGAGTTTCTTAAGGTGTGGTTCCCATGTGCATGGTATAAGCTAAATGTCTGTGTGCCTTTTCCTTTATCTCTGTCTGCCTTTCCTTTTCTTCTGTGTCAGTGTGTTTTTCAGTGAACTTTAGGGCGATTTTCTTGACCCCTGTATATGTGGCATGGTGAGCAGGGTAAACCAAAGCTGTGCTGCTCTTCCAGAAGTCACAGCCAAGAGACTGTCAATGTCCCCTAGTAATACATGCTAGAGTCCAGAGGGCAATACGATTCATTCCCCTCCTAGTGGGGCTGGGGATTGCTGCTGGGGTTGGGGCTGGGTTGGAGGAGTGGCATCTTCTGCTGCTTACTACCAGCAGCTGTCCACTGCCCTGGCAGATGGACTCTAACAGGTAGCAAATATTGAGACTCTACAAGTCCAGCTTGACTCCTTGGCTGATGTGGTCCTACGGAACCGGAGAGGGTTAGATCTCTTGACTGCCAAAATGGGTGAACTCTGTTTATTTCTGAGAGAGGAATATTGCTTCTATGTCAATAAATTGGGTGTGGTCCGAGATATGGCCAGGCAGCTTAAATATTTGGTCTCCAAAAAGCGACAAGTGACAGCTGACTCCTGGGCAGGTTGGAATGGGCTCTAAATATGGGCCCCATAGCTACTGCCTCTCCTGGGGCCCTTGGCAGTTATTCTTTTAGCACTGACAGTCAGGCCATGTGTCCTTAATCTGATTTCGTAACCTCCTGCCTTGAAGCCATCAAGTATCAACTGCCAGTTGCTACCCTGAGAGCTGTTTACCACCCTCCTGTTAATTGACCCTCCTTGAGTATAGTTGAGGAGGCTCAAGAGGGGGGGATGATCTGGAGAACCCCTGAATTCATGAATAACTCAGGGCTGATAGCTGCCTGAAGTTGCTGTCCCCCAGCAAATTTACTGCCCCTCCCTGGAGTTACAGGGTTACCCGAAACCTTGAATAGTTAGACTTCTTATTTCTTTGCCACCTCCATTTTAGGGCAGATCCTGAGATCTCCCCTCCCAAATTGCCCCACGAAAGACCATATCCAACCTCGAGTCAGGGCTGGAGATTCAGAGTGTTAACTCCTCTGTGTCCACTGGTGTAATAAAGAGTTCGCCTTTCTCTCCTGAGTGCCATTTCCCTTCTCCGGTGTCTGTTTTTCTGCAACAAAAGTCTGAAGAAAAGGAAAGAAAGGAATCTCCCCCGTCACCCATCTGGGCTATGGGGGATGGTTTCAAATTCTCAGAGCCCTCAGGATACACCAGAGAGTAACTATGGCATGTACCATCAATTGCCCCAGGAACATTCACTGTCCCCATGACGGTTAAGAGTCCAGAAATGGAAACCGAGTCACAACACAGCCAACATTCTCAACATCTTGATAATGCTGAGGGATTGACAGTGTTTCCCGGCCAGCTTCACATCAAAGTCTTGTAGATTGGCAGTCACCCTAAAGGTGTTTACATGACTGTCCAATGCCCAGTAATTTCGTCTGATAGAGGTAGTTTCTAGGGACAAGAGTGTCCCTAAAAAAGTCCACATTACTTACCATTCTGACATCAAGAAGTGGAGTCTAGATGTTTCCTGACCAATACACCAAAATATGACACGGAGCACAGGGGTGATTTGGCCTAAACTCATAGTGATACACATGTTCTTGTCCCACACTCAGGAAGAACTAGAAACATGGACACTGAGAGTAGGTACTGCAAAGGGGAGAATTTATTAACAAAGTGGGAAGTTTATTAAAGAAAAGGAAAGGAAAAACAGCTCCCAAGAAGGGAGCAATCCCAGAAAATGGGTTCTCCTGTCTAGAAGCTTTGGGCCATGAAAACCATTATCTTATCTTTTCCTAGAATGTGGTGTGTTCTGAAAAAAGCCTGTTTTAGGTTTAGGTCACGCTGCATAAGTCAATCTCTGGGCCACCCCTATATCCATCTCAAAGCTTAGCCATTTTGTGATTCCACTTTGGACCCATACTCTATTTTTAGAGTCTCTGTCTCCTACCTTAACATCACAATGGTTTTCTTGCGGAGGAGAGGGGGAGGTCCCTTTGCCCTGTCTACCTGTAAGTGGAATCTAACTCCT